TTATGGTGGGGTTGTATCCATTGTTTTTTGCTATTGTCTTTATTATATTAATTTCTTTTGCATATTCCAGGTCGTTGAGGTTGTAATTTAATAGCCTTACTCACTGTATTATTATGTATTATACTACAGTATTATATACTGTATTATACTACACTGTATTACCCCATTATAAACAAAATGAAAAGGAAAATAAAACACGGACCTGAAAACGAGACTACTGCCCAAAATCCCGAACCAAACCCAAAATATATATCAATCAAATACACTGGCAGAATATCAGAGAAAATTGGCAAAGTGTTCAAGAAATCTGGCTACACACCTGCATACCAAGTCAAAAACTGTCCTATACCACTATACGACATAGAAGCAAGTACAAAGGCCCGACCAATAAAAAAAGACAGAGGAGTATACAAAATAACCTGCAATCCACCATGTAACAAACAACATATTGGCTACACGAATAGATCATTTTCCCAACGCTTCAAAGAACACAACACTAGTCTCTACAAAAATCCAACCTCAATAGTAGCAAAACACCTCAAACAAAACCATACTCATTCAATAACATTCCCCGATTCCCTTACTATCCTGAACAGAACCCAGTCAAAAACCACAGCCAAAATACAGGAAAGCTACCAAATCTATAAACAAGTTACCGAATCTGGACCTGACAGCCTACTCAACATAAAAGAAGACTTCAATAACTCCATCATTTTTAAGACCATGTACGAAATAGAAACCAACCGATTTGGCAACCCCGCAGAAACTAGACAACGTCGCAGATACAACAATTCTGAGAATTCCACACCCCAACCCGTCCATCCACCAGGCACTCTTTCTGTCAGTCTAACAACGATCCCGGCACAAGTAAACACCCTGCGCTCGCAACACACGCCCGCCGCGCCGCGAGTGTAAACGCTACCATGTGAACCGGTACAGTGACTCTTGTGTATATAAACTGTGTATATATTAGAATGTAAGTGTAGGATAGTGAACTCTGAAGATGCCACAACCTGTGGCGAAATGCGCATCAGGTATCAAAAACCAACAAGAACTTCAAGGCAAGAAAAACCAAAAAGGTAATTAATTGATTAAAACTGTTCTTGTAACTGGGTTATATCCTAAATTGGTTAGTTATTTTGAAAGCAATCATCTATTTTATAACAAACAATTCAGGAAAAATTTAAGCACAGGTTCTGCACTAACACAGTTTATAAATGAGGTTACCCAGGCTTTGGACGGGTCTCAGGCTACAGCTGGTGTTTTCTGTGACCTGTCCAAAGCTTTTGACTGTGTTGATCACTTAGTCCTTCAGCTCAAGCTGAGTGATTATGGTATTAGGGGAAGTTGTCACTCTCTATTGAGTTCTTACCTTTCTAATAGAAAAATACCCCCGCTGCAGCAAACCTGACGCCTAAGCGAATTTCCATTTGGCTGAATTGATTTTTAATTGATCTATTTAAATAACATTAGGTTTAACGAGTACCTAGGTTTGCTGCTACAAGGAAACTAATAAAGTGTGTGTTTTAAGTAAAATAATTATTGCTTAGTATAAAATGAATATATTTGCCAAGTTTGATCAAAAGATATCCATAAACAAGCAAACTACAACATTTTACAATATTCTCCATAAGAATAACATGGGAATTTTAAATTTACCATTTTTTAAGTTTTCTCCGTAACCAATAACCGTACAAAAACACTTTGATATACTGAATTGTTTGTTTTTTTAAGCTCTTTAAGAAGGTTTAGAGAAAAATTGGGAAATTTTGTGTTTTGAGGGTCAAAAGTGAGAAAAACCAATTTTTACCCCATAAAACCCCCCATAAAACCCTGTTCTCATGGTCCGATCATGCTGGATCGCGAACTCATTCAAGTTTATCCCGCCTTACACCTTTAAACCAAATTTCATCAAAATCGGATAAAAATTACTCAAGTTATCGTGTTCACGGACACATATATATATATATATATATATATATATATATATATATACATATATAAAAATTTGAACGAGTGGTGTTTTTGGCCTCTGGGGACATCAAAAAGAAAAAATAAATCGGTCCCGGGCCTAAGTCTTACCATGAGACCTACGGTAATAGCTACTTCCCTATAGGGAAATTCGCTAAAAAAGAACTGTAATAACACTGGATAAGATCAAGCACTATTCGCCATGGGAAAACCTATCGGCAGGTGTGCCCCAAGGTTCAATCTTAGGTCCTCTATTCTTTCTAATTTACATTAATGACCTCACTAAAGCTATTGATCAGGAACTAATTCTTTTTGCAGATGATACAACAGCCTTGATAAAAAATAATAGTACTTCTGAAATGCTATCTTCTCTTGAAAATGTGGTTCATGACATGGAGGGTTGGTTCTTGAACAATGGATTAAAACTTAATCTTGAAAAACGCAAACAATAAAATTTTCTGTCAGAAACAATGGTAATCAAATTGAATCCCTTAAATTGGCAACGTCTCATAAATTTCTAGGTGTTTACATAGATGAATCACTTAAATGGGATTTACATCTGAATCAATTAAAAAGTAAACTTAGATCCATGTCAATTGTATTTCTGCACTTAAGGGACTGTGTTCCTAAAGAAACTCTGAAAATGGTTTATCATGCTTATGTAGAATCAGTATTGAGGTATGGTATAATCTTATGGGGTCAGGCTACCGGAGTCAAATCAATATTCAGGCTACAAAAACGCATTATCCGTATTATGACCAGCTCTCATCCACGCAGTTCATGCAAAAGCCTTTTTCAAAATTTGAAAATCCACACCCTAACAGGACTGTACATTTTGGAATCACTAAACTACATTCATTCAGCTAAAAACGAGCTCCCAGAATCAATTAAAATCAACCATAGATATAATACTCAAAATGAAAACATTTTTAGATTTCCAAGGCACCATTTGACCCTTTATGAAAAAAACCCACTATATGCTGGGCTGAGGCTGTACAATTTGCTGCCTGCAAACTATAAATTGTTAAATGAAAATAATTTTAAAGATAAAATAGGTGAACTCTTAATTGACAGAGCCTTTTATTTAATTGCAGATTTTCACAATGCCCCTTTAGTTTAGAATAGTTTTATCATTCAATTTTGTTAATTTATATTATCATCTTGATTACTATTTTATTTTTTATATTCTGATAATTTTAACTCTGACAATGCACCTATTCTGTATGTAACACATGTAAAGAATGTTATGTGCAAATAAAATATGTCTATGTCTATGTCTATATTAATATAGTACGGTAATATAGTGAAAGAAAGAAAGAGTTATCGTTTATGATTAAATAGTATTATTTGGTTAAACGAGGTTTTAAATTACTGAAATAACAAGAAAAAATTGTAAACAAAGCACAACATCTACAGAAAACCGGACAGAACTAACAATGAAATTGGCTTCAGCTGTTCCATAAGGATGGGAAATCTACCTTAATCTAATCGTCATAACAGATCCCACACTCCGTACTGCTAATTGTTAGCCTTTACTACAATTCATCGAGTAAGCTTCAGTATAATCATTGCTCAATAGTAACAAGTGATGTTTTTGCTTTTGTACCGTACTAGCTGTAACCCGCGGGCTTTGCCCCGTTTAACTTCTTAATTTTCAAGATGATCTCGTTCGCATGGCTCAATCACGTCCTGGTTGAAGTTCGTTCGCTACGCTCACTCACCTTTAGGTAGGAGCTTGTTCGCTACGCTCACTCACCTTTAGGTTGGAGCTCGTTCCCTGCGCTCACTTGCCTTCAGGTTAGCTCGTTCACTACGCTAACTCGCCTCCAGGTTGAAGTTCGTTCGCTATGCTCACTCACCTTTTGGTTGCAAATTAGCTGTTGTCATAAATGTAAAAGAAATAATAGTGCTGCACCCTGTTGGTAATCCTTGTAACTTTAATGCTATTGAACATCATAGAACAGAACCAACTTTTTTAATTGAAACAGCTGTTAAAATTCATTAATTCCATTTCTCATAAGGTTAACATGGGAAACTCCAGAGCCACTGGGGCGGAGCCGATTGGACGGATCACGAAATTGATGGTGTATAAACCTATTCCATGAAATTCTACACGTATGTACCAAGTTTCGTGGCAATCGGTTCAGCGTTGTCTGAGTTTATCACTGCCAAATATATGTATATACAAACATCCTCTTTTATACTTATAGATTTTGTAATTTCTAGTATACTGTGGGTAGATGACTTTATGAACACATGTGTTACAACTAACAAGTCTTTTGTTTACTTTTTCCTTGTTATTTAATTCAACCAACATGGTTACTGAGGAACCCATAAGACCAATGTTAAAAAAATGTGCCTTTCAATTTTATTTTTATACGTAATCAGATTTTTGTTGGCAGTTCTAATGGCAGTAAACTCGTTTTTAGGCCAAAAATAAACTATTTACAACATTTGAAGAAAATCGTCGGAGCCGTTTTCAAGATCTTTCTGCAAGCAAGCAAGCATACATACATACATACATACATACAAGCAAACATTGCTTGTATTAGAATATAGGATAGTCTCCACTTAGGTTTATGTGTTGGCTTTAGCTTGGACTATGCGCCAAAGAGGCTGTGTCCTAGTGTCAAACACAAAGTATAAACCCAAAACCCACACTCACACAACATATCTATTAACAATGACACTCCAAATCATCAAATTCAAACTGACCAATTTTGCAAATATTTAATGCCGACAACAACATAACACAATCCCAAACTAGTGTTGACAGACAAAAGAGGATAAAGATCAGCTGTTGCCTAGTACTTTAACTCACCACCAGACAGCATAGTCCTCGACTGAGCTGAAATCGTGATTTGACCAAGGAAGAAGATTATTAGTTTGTACACCATAGTTGAAGTAACATCATTGTTACACGCTACCTACGCTCACACTTCGATCAAATAGCAGTATTATATTAAAGCAACAAAGCAACGTATAATAATATTTTTGAACCGCTTTAACATAAACACTCCAATTTTCAGATGGATTCAGAAGTGACAACTGCACTCTCGTGTTTGCCTTCAATCTCTACATACGATCCAAGTGAATTCTCATCCAAGTTGTACAAGCATTTATTACGGAAAATTGAGCATCCAAAACCAATGCAACTGGTAAAAAATACAAATATTGTTTGTTAACCGAACATTTTCACCATCTCCAATTCACACTGCTTATTCTCAATTGTTAGCACAGGACCTGCAAAATTGTACAAAATATCACTCACATTTTATGAGAATTGTATTTTTCAACAACTTTATTTGGGCCATAATCCATTTGATCTTTTACCAAACACAAAGGTTGTATACAGTACAACATCCAAGAGGAGGTGTTGGAAATGCTATGAAAGGTATTGGGACATTTTAAAGTTTCAAAGTTGTTAAAAATTGAATACATGTAGGAATGAATGGGAGTGCTGAAATTTTTAACTGTGATATCTCTAAACAATGAAGAATTTGTCGAGATATTGTTCAATGTAAAACAGTGCACTTCTCAATTATATTCTTCTATCCAATATACCTACATTCATAAGGTCGCCATTTCAAAGTAAAGTATCAAGTATTAAAATATACAAACTTGCAGAGTTAATTAACGTTTGAAGACTTTCTTTTAACTTCCAAACAGACAGACAACATCATCTGTAAATTACACTTGGAATGCCCTTTTCTGAGAAGAAAGTGTAAATTTTGTTAGTGGAATAAAATCCCTCAGTCCATTACCCTGAAATGGGGTTTTTTTGGAGGGAGGCACAACATTCCAAAATCAAAACCCAGATTGACACATTTTTAATAGGGCTTTGAAAAATTATAAGGATAAAAGGTGTGTCTTAATTATTATATGCTTATGTTGTCTCATTTTGTTAACAATTATTGTTGTAGAAACAAGAATCAACCTGTACAGATCCATCCCATAAGTCCATTGTTGTGAGTTTGGAGGTGAAGAAAAAAACAAGAGTGAAGAAGAAGATTACTGAGGGAAATAGGCTCAGAAGAAGTTTACACTTGGCAGATCCACTTCCAAAGTTGTCTGAGAGTGACCAACAAACCCTGGCCCAGTGCTTGTCTAGACAAAGAGAAAAGTTCAAGTCTTCATTGCATCAAAATGTTAAATGATACCCAAACTAGGCCTACTGCAGTGCTAAAATTAAGAGAACTATTATTAATTAGGGATCTAGTTTAAAATGTAATGAATCACAAGTCTTAGGGTTCTTGCAAAGTTATTTAAGTTAAACAATTTAACTGAATTTAACCTATACTTTTTATACCGATTTAAAATATCACTTAATTCAGAATCTACTGTTACTAAAATATTATTTTTTTTTAAAGTTAATCAAAGAATGTTTTTATTTGAAAATAGCCTACCTGACTTAAATAGGGATTATGTTTTATTCTGAAGTGTTTCACTTTAAGGCTAGAAACAAATACTTAAGTCACTCTAAGTTAATGTGGAATAGTATACAGGGTTAGTTATAGATTTTGTGTTTAATTGTTACCGTACCAACTAAGGGATTTATGTTATGTTTATAATGATGCTATTTAATAAAATAATGCTGGCTAGTTGTAATATTTCTTTACTGTGTTCTTTATATAATTCTTTTTGTTTCTTTAGTGCTGTAAATGATTCTTTCATTCTTTGGAATTAGTCACTCTTAACTGTTGGCACATAATATTCCATCCCAAATACTATTTTAACAACCAACAAAACCGAACTATTGGTGCTTTTAATACAAACAATTCAATGCTGCTTCAGAACTGCCTACCATTAACGTTGTTTCAAAATTCTATGCAATTATTTTTTTAAATATCAGATCCAACAGTTCTAAAATGAAGTAAAGCCATTATTTCATTTTTCTCAACTGTTTCATGGCTAATTTTAGTTTTGAGTTCTCATACTTAACCCTATCCGGATGGGCAAAATCGTGACATTGAACGGGAAAAACTTATAGGAAAAAATAAAAATTAATTTTTCTTATTTGTGTTCTGTTATACAAATATACATAAAATAAACACAATGGAACACTTCATTCTGTCAAAATAATTTGTTACTAGTTTTTAACTATGCGGATATACCCTCTACCCATCCACGAATGAGTAGAAAAGCGAAAAGCAGCGGATATATCCGCCACCCGTCTTTGAAGATATGACCACACAACGTTAGGCAATAAATAAAGACAACGTAGTGTTGAGCGCGAAACGTTGAGGGGGGATCGTAGAAGAGGTGGGTGGTGCACGGGAGATGGGGTAGGCACAGGAGAGAGGGGGGAGTGTGGGAGAGAGCGCAGCGATGGAGAGAGCAGGAAAGTGGCGCCTTCGTACCATGAAACATCTGGTTACTGCTCAAGCACCTGCCAGTCTGTCTGTAGAGAAGGCGGATACATCTGCTTCCAGTCCGGAACATCAAAAACCATAAGCGGATATATCCGCCACCCGTCCTTTATCTCCAAAGTCTTAGGCGGATATATCCGTCACCCGTCCGTAAAGGGTTATGAGATTTCATTTATCTTGATTTTGAACTCTATATACTCTAGCAATATATATTCAATTCAAAAAGTTGTTATTCATTAATATATACAAGAATGGTGTCAAATTCATCATTACATCAAATACTGAAACATATTGCCATGAAAGTAATAATTAAATACGGTAACTTCTTTATCAGCATTGTACAAGTTATTAAATTACCTGTAGAAACTTTATTACCTGTTCTATAGAAACTTCCGGTAGCCAATAGTATATAAGGGACCACATTGAGATTCTTGTCATTCGCCTATTATTGGGTCTGATGATCACCACTGACCATCTTTTATATGTATTAAATAACGGCTTGTGAGTAAACAGTGTAAGAGTAAATATACAATAGGGTGGCTCGAATTTTTTATTTTTTTTTTTTATAAAATTCTAATAACGAGGAAAACTTGTGCATAGACGTCATAATAAAGGGAAAAATAATAGAAAATTTGAAATCACGCAGTAGGCTTAAGTTACAAAAAAAATTAAATTACCAAAATTTTTTTTCCTAATAGTCAAAAAAGTGCTTTAAAGAGTGCTAAAGAGTTTAAAGTGCTTTCCAAACACGTAAATCATACTTTCAGACCTGTTATTCTTTGACTGTATGTATTCGCGCAAAAGGCCGAAAGTACAGTATAAGTAAGTTGTTTTTTGTACAATGTTCGACTTACTAAAAATGGCATTTTCTATATCTGATGAGTGTAACACATTAAGGTTTGTATTAAGACACTAACAAGTGATATTCAAACAAATGCATTAGCCAAAAACATCATATTACACTACACAATTCTATTGTTATAGGGAAAAGTTTATTTACAGTACATAGAAGCCCCTTTGAATTGTGAATTGAAATTAAATGTGGGCATCAGCTGCCTTGATTTTAAAGTAGCTCTAATATATCCATCTCGATTTTCATGCCCGCACACTTTTTCTGCTGATTCTGCTGGGTGTGACATGGGAATTCGAGGTAGTTAAACTCTGGTAGGGCTTTGTCTTTCAATAAAGAAGCAATATGTTCAGTTGGCATCTTAGACAGTAGTGGAGGCGGTGTTAACTTACAGGTTGACCAATCATTAAGTTCGGTGTAGTCGTTTGCACTAAAATTTATTGAAGGTACGATGAAGTCTCTAACGTATCCTTCAGCTGATGGCTCATTTCTGGATTTTAGGATTCTTCGGTACCCAAGTTCTCTAATGCTTGGGCTGTTATCCATTATTATAGCCAACATCATATTTTCAGGGTGGCAGAAGAATGCGTTCCTTTGAACTACTGGATCAATGATTTTCTTGATATTGTCCGTCAGATGTCTGGTTGTTTTCACTACCTTCAAAATATGCTTCGGTCGATCTTTCACAGTCCAGTATTTCTTGATATCAAACCACACAGGTGCATTTACTATGTAATTTGCAAGAGTCTGTAACTCAATTGTTGGACTAGTTTGGGAGACATACAATCTTAAAACCTGGTTAGCACAGGTAAGCCAACGAGAGTGGCTGATGGGTCCAGGATCCCTAGCAGCCAAATCTGGAGTACAAATTCCTGTGTTGACTGCTCTTACAATGTCTAAGAGATACTGCTGATCTTTACTCAGATTGGATTTTGTTATATAGATGACTTCTTCTGATTGAATCGGTTCAAATTCTACAACACAGAGTTTCTCACAGCCGAGGAGTTGTTTTCCGATTGGACCGCTGAATGAGGCTGGCCCTGTTGTAGTTCCATCCAAGTGTTCAAATAAATGCCTATATGGCAACTCATTAAAATGTATCAAACATATAAACCATTGCAAAGGACGGCGACACTTCACTTCTATGTTATGAACAACACCGTTTCTCCATCCAGTGTTTGTAGCTGTTCCATAACATCCGATGGCCTCCACTACACTATCAAATCCTTTACTGTCCAAGTGTTCGTAAATACTATATGGAATTTCATTGCCGGTCCCTTTCTTTGGTGTGACGTGGCAAATGAATTTACTACCAGGCTCACTTATTATGCTAACATGTTCTTCTTTTATAGTTCTGCGGCACATTTTCGATCCAACCTTCTCTTGGGTTAAAGTCTTATCTTTTCTCCCTGTGGTGTTATTAATTAACCATATGTTTTATGTTTAAAAGACCAGATGAACTGATTATTTATTGTTATTATTTACCTTTTGTTTTGAGATGAGTTGTTGAAATTACTAGATAAAATACTGTTCCAAAAATGTTCATTTTGATTAATTAGATAGTTTCTTCACATGGTGTCAGGTTGAAAGAAATATGGGAAGCCGAAATAAAAGAACATCTAAAAGAAATTTGAAGAAGAGAGATTACTTACAAAAGGAATTTGATCTTGAATCAAGTGAAGATGAGTCCAAGCCTAGGAATCAGGTTTGTTCAAAGAACGGTGTAAGAGATAAAACATCAACTGAAGCTTCGAGGGTTACTACAGTTTCAGGTATGCAGACTCAAATTTCTCCACCAGAAGCTTTTGATTTTCAAAATCCTGCCTTATGGCCTCGTTGGATGAAAAGGTTTGAGAGGTACAGGATTGCTTCAGAGCTTTGCTTCAAGCCTGACAGTCAACAAATTAGTATGCTCTTGTATACTCTAGGCGACAAAGGTGAGGATCTTTTCCGTACTTTTGGTATTTTTGATGAGAATAATCTTCAGTATGAAGAAGTTGTTAAAAGTTTCAGTGATTTCTTAAAAGTCAAATGTAACATTTAAACGTGATCGAGCTAGAAGACGAGAAAAATATAATCATCAACTGATTCAATATTTATACTACAATGAAAGAAAAAAATGTGTGAGAACTGTGCTTTCTGATGAACAGAAATTATGTAATACTAGGGGAAACCCGTCGAAATCGACGGTTACTTTCAAGGCTTACGTTAATTCATCTAACTGCGATGAATTGGGTGAAATATACATATTTTGAGCATTTAACATTGTTCAAAGAGTAAGTGTAAAAACAATAACAATATTGCGTTAGTTGCCAAATTTGGTTTTTCATTCAATGATTAAAATATTTCCTATCCTGTACGTCATCGGAGTTATTATTAGTATGTTATATGGTATCTCTTCCTTTGGTAGAACCTTTAAATAGTATTTAAATCGTATTGGTGGATCTTTTGTAGCTAAACACTTCCATGATTTCATCAGTGTTTGAGAAAAAATATATGTTTGTTGAGAAGACACGTTCTAACTTCAAAGGGAGGTATATCCGTTACAGTGTAAGTTTGATTTTCCTTCGTCACGTCGCGTCAGTTCATATCGTACTTCTGTGCCAACGAATGAACCCTCTAGCATAGTTTTGAGAAATTGACTGTGGGGTTACTGATAAAGCTGGAATTCCTTGACATGGGGGATGTCAGTTAGTTGTCTCGGCCTCGGCCTTATCAATAACATAAAGTTTTCAATATAATCTCTCTACGGAATGTTAGGTGTAGTGGAATACATGAAGTAAAGTTGGCTTTTATTCTTGAACTGTTAGGGGCCTCCTAGTTCATATGATCTTGGCGGCTTCATTGGCAATAAATAATGCAAATGGCATAGCAATTGAACATTTCCAAAAAGCAAAAATACTGTAAAATGGCTGTTACGTATATATTGACGTTTACATATTGTTAATCAACGTATATGATAAATACTTTAATCCTTTAATACATTTTTTTTTATGGCGACCATTCATAGTAGGTAAACCAAGTATGAATGGAGATGAGTGTAGGAAGAGTGGCGCGATCTTGAAGTCTTGTTAGTTACTAAGGCCGACATTCCTTAGATACAGCTGTTAATTAATAGCCCATACAGCGAATGGCAACCAAGGGATCTACAGTTTATAGTTGAATTGGAACCAAATGTTTTTGCATTGGTATTTATGAATTGGTATAATTATCAGGATAGCACTGCGGGTAGTCGTAGTACTCACTCGTGCGGACGTTAATCCACACCAGGGAGTATCGCATCCACAGTGCATTCCTATAAATATCCACAATTCGTGACCTCCTAGTAGCTGGATTACAGGACGACGCCACCCGTCCCAGTCAAAGGATTATGTGATCTAGTTTAAAAGGAATA